CTCTAGTTCTAACTGATGAAACTGAACGGTGGATGAAAACTTCCCCAAGTGGAATGAGATACTTTGGAATTGCCGCTATTTCCGATAAGCGTCATGCATTATTTAAGAATAACCAAAACAATCCAATCAGGCTGTTTAAAGGCTCGCGTAATTGTGTGGCAAGGAGGATCCACGATCCATGATCAGCAATCCAACCCAAAAGAGACATCTGCACTATTGAATCGCTTGTAAGGGAACACTTAAACAGAACCCACTACAGAAGGATACACCACACTGTATGTCGCTCGCAGGAGCTACAACCTAAGAAGAGGGTCGTATTATTCATGTACCATCATCAGCAGTCACCGGTGACTGCATTTTGACGCTGTCATCACCACCACCACTATCCTCACTGTAGATACTCAATACTAGTATTGATGAATCGTTTTTCACAAACTGAATTGGAATCTCTGAGAGGTTAAGAAGAGAATAGATGTTTGCACTACCAACTGATATTTCAACAAACACACGAAGAGCTTCCGCTTGTTTTACTTATGTTCGGAGTTTTAAGACACCCGTTTCACGTGATGAACGGCAGAAAGGAAAATCGGCTATCTAATCCCCGAGACTTGAAGAGACGAAGCACACAATTCCATATCTGGGTAGGTATAATACTGAACCGGAAGGCGGTAAAACTACTGTTTTACATCAAAACTGGGTGATGATGGTTCGAAACCATCGAGTCCAACGCATGCCAATCCGAACGATTTGAACCTCATGATCCCCTACATATCATTATCAGCTACTCTGCTTTATCCAATACACTTTCCATTTAATCAGGTTTTCATATATATTATTCTCTTTGCATTTCAGGTGAACTGGCCACTGTCATTGTCAATGTGAAACGGCTCATCGCCGACTATTTGCAAAGACAAAATCCTACTGTGGTTCCCGGGAAAACCCCCTTCAACTCCGGGCACATTCAATCAATGGGAACTGCTGATGCGGAGAACTCGGAATATCTGGTGTCCTCAACCACAGGAATGGACAATGGTCCACACACTAGTACCTTTGCAAATCCATGCGGTGGCTCTTTCATGGTTTCAAGGGGAGGAGGCCGTCATGTAGAGAATAATAATTTTAATCCCATCTACAGCGGTGGTCTGCCCGCAAGCGGATATTCCCTGTTCGAACAGGCATCGTATATCTATACAACGGTTCATGGTATGTTTTTCCTCGGGAAAAGTCACGTTCCACTGATATTTTAATGTCATTTTTCAATTAGGTCTACTTGGGACAAACGGTGAATGATTTGCTGAGTAGAACAAGGATAATGTTTTTCTGTTTACAATCCATTTTGTAAATCTCGTTTATGCAAGTCGTAATCTCAGAATGTGATCTCAGTACGGTAGAGATTCAGAAAGTGTGAGAACAATGGCAAACTCTCAGGTTTTCCGAAAGACCTATTTAGATAAACAAATCAAGATTGATTAGGAAAACTACAAAGCTCGTGTTCAGAGACTGACTTCATACCGCTGGGAAAACCATTTATCATCAATGGTGATTTTGGTTTGGACTGCATATCGCGCGGACTTTGTCTTTATGCACAGTTCATCCAGTCAATCAGATACTCGGGAAGCACCGGACTCGAGTCTTGCTCTCTCATTAGAGCTCATCACTGGACCGTCTGAGCTTTGAGCTCCGAACCCATTGCATGGAAGGCGTGTGTACTACCACTGTGCCAACAGTGGTAATTAGAGTGAAAATTGAGTCCAGTGATTCCCGAGTGTATGATTGACTGGATAAATTGAGAATTGTGCCTGAAGACGAAGCCCGAGGGATGGACAGTTTAAATCACCATTACCTATCCCATTCCACTACTAACAAGTAACTCTGAATAAAAAATGTGTAAACCAATGCTATTCCTGATCGCCTTAGCCATGGCGGCACTAATTTCAGATGATCCTTAGCAAACAATGAAAAAAACTTTGTGTTACCAAGGTGATTAAGCGTTCGCTAGGTAGATTTTGAATGCTGACTTTGTTTCCTCAGTGCTACAATCGAGGATGGGTGATGAAGAAGCAGAGTATTTAATGACCAAGTGTGGAACACTAGGTGCATTATGCGGAGTGTTTGATGCTTGAGGCAGTTCCGAAAGTTGCAGAAAATACCGAAAATTGAGCATGGACGGAAATATCATAAAAGTGGGAAAATTCTATGAAATGATATGAATTTACATCAAGTCAAATCATCAATATTTATATAAACCCCGAAAGGTGAATATTTAACAGTTATGCAGCCAAAGAAGAACCGTTTAAGTAAGCAAAGTACACCAGAATTGTGGAGAGCAAGGATAAAACAAAACAATTTACTATATGAGTGAGTTAAGTTCAAGAGTGCTGCGGGTTATAAATAAATCGAGCAACAAAAGGCACCACAGAAGACCGGTAGGCAGTTGCGCGAGGAAATAAATAGTTGTGGTGATGTCGGGTGGAAGAAGAGGATGCAAATATTATCAGATCTGCGTGTGTCGGATGCCAAGGGTTGCTTATGATTTTCTGGATAACGAGTGATATCAGTTTGCATTTTGTGACGTGATACAGAACTTCACGGGAAATCCAACTACTACCTGGGAAGACTGTGGGGGACCGGCAGAGCCAAAGGGTTAAGTATAAGCAAAAAGAGAACAGCGGACCAGGAAGCTATGAATGGACAAAGGGTTCAGGCGTAGGACATAAAATAATCATTTACTGACCGCAGCACGAAAATGCATGTTTGATGGTTATACAACCTGAACTGAACTGAACTGACCCTTCCAGACTAACACCAATTTTCGGCTGATTCACACACCTAACATTTACGGGTTGGTGAGTAGAATCATCTTGTGTGTTTACTATACGACAGGATTCTAAAAGATTTGCGTAAAGGTTCCCTCGGAGAAGTGAAAACAGCATGCATGCGCATTTAGAGGGATTAAGAATTATGCTGTGTGCGATGGACCAATCAGCAAGGTTAGAAATGTTAAGGTCAAAGGTGAAAGTGACACACAAATCAGGGTGGGTGGTTCTGACCATCGTCTGCCCGTTTAATAAGAAGGAAATCTTGAAAAGTAGGCACTGATGAAATGTAAGTGGAAGAATAAAACGGATTCAGGATTACACCCTGTAGTACACTTAGTGCACAGATTGGGAGACAAAATGTTTATAAACAATTGAAGGTGTCGTTTTTCTTCAAGAAACATATTCTGACAGCATTTTTGTTTCCATCGAGAGGAAATATAAAGCAGTGAATCATAAAAGCCAGGACATCCACTGTGGAACGAGAGCAGTGGTACACTAATTGGTTTTTTGGTCCTGTACATTCAGCTGCGATAACATTCCTTGAAGGACTAATTACTCGACGAGCCTTAACACGCACGCGGAAGGAATTTTTAAGTTCCTCTTTTAGGCATCCGGGTGATGGAGGCAGATTTTCAACAATCAGATATAGCTCCGTTTGTCAGGTACTGGTTAAAAAGATCTGTGAGCACCAGTGGAAGTGTATGAGAGCACTTCTTAAGGATGGACGCTTCCAACCTGTCGGGATCGGGTGATTTATTAGGTTTGAGAATCAACAACTCCTCCAGGATATTCTCTTGTTGAATAGTAAAAGTTTCTATAACGTTGTGTCAGATGTTTGCGCTGTCGATGGACGGCCCCATCTTCTTGTAACTAGTTCCTTTCTTAAATGTACGATTTATCTCCTCGACATCCATTGCTGTTCAAGACATGATTGAAGATTGATCTCTCATTTGCTGGATACTGTTCCAGGTTCCCCGGCTGCTTTTGTTGTGGAGGAGTGTGCAATTGTAGATTTCGTTCAGTCAATGTACCCGACCGTTGACAGCAAGTAATAAGACTTTTACACTTTGAAGATCTTTGCGTTTGTATCCTCGGCCATATCACAATCACTATGATATTTCTACATAACAAATATGAGTGTAAGTGTAACTATAAGTAAGTAAGTAAGTCTAAGAAGTAAGAAGCGTATATGAGAAAAAGTTAGAAGTCCTCAAGTAGCGAAACTCCACTTCGGATGAGGCGTCATAATGTTATTAAAAATTGTCTTTGAGAAGGACTAAAGAAGATCAGGCGGTACTAACAGTTAGTTTACCAGTTAATTAATCCGCAACCTGGGCTTCTGGTTTTGGAAAACAGTATGGTTAAATGAGATATATCATACAACATTTATCGTTTATATGAAAATCAGGCAAACATTTTAGCCTTCTCCAAACTGAATAGTATTACTTTACCCTCTTCTGAATCTATTAGTTGTACTTATAAAGAAACAATGCACAGGGAGGTCCGCTATTTTAGTGTATTTAGATAATTAAACTTTCTGCTGTAATTTGTACATAGTAAACTGTGCGGTTGCCATCAACACTCATTTTAGAAGACGAAGAATAGCATAGATTCATTTTAAAGTGAAAGTTTGGACGACTGGATTCATGTACTCAAATCGTTTCCCATGCATACCGCATTTCCCCTCATTTTATCTTATAATTTATATTACTTGTTTAAATGATCTGTTTACTCGGGTTTATCGACAATGGAGTAATGCTCAGCGTTCGCTCGTACATATGCAACAAAATGATAAGGGATAAAATGTGAAAAACTTTCATTTTCTTTGACCGTGTCCCAACCGTTGCCTACCACACACTGCATTATATCTAACATCAGATTATACTACTGACAGAAATGAGAGTAGCCATTTGCGGTGGTTTGGGTTGTTTCGAAGATTTTAGGCATTTTACTCAATCTAACAATTTTCAGTTTGCCCTCATAAGGCTTGACAAAATAAACCATAACGCTGTTAATATGCTTCATGAAATAGTATGAATCACGACAACAAATAATGTGTAGTGTAGAGGACTTTTGGTTATTCCACTAAAATACATCAAACACTGACATGGTTGTAGTTGTCCATTATTTCTCAATCAGACCCATACCGACCAGATAAATTAAAGCTGAAAAGCGGTTATTTAGCATTACTTTTATTTAAAAAAATGAGCGAGGGATTGATTTCCATTAGCATCAAAGTTACTATAGTGGAGCTGTGGAAATAGAGCTCAGATTTTGCTGACAAGTTGCAAGTAGTTTACAGCTCGGAATGTGCTTTTCACATTTATCTGAAAGCCGTTTGTCAAACTTCAAACGTCTCCTTTTTCATTTTTATCCTCACTACAGTCACACATGCAGCTGGTCGAACAGATGCACTAGTGGAAGAAGTTCTACGTTTGTCACGTGACGGTCAAAACGCACATCCGTTGGTAAAGAAAATGGCACTGGACGGTATTTATCACATCGGCCCACCGGGTATCAGCAGTGGCTTCGAGGATAACAGTAGCAATCCAACAACGACTGCTCATAATATTGTCAGTAGTGAGGTTATGACGACCCAAAATATTCGGTCCCTCACAATCCCGAATTACATGGATCCCGGTTCGGAATGCGGCATCATGTCTTCAGCAGCTCCTCCAATATCACCTATTGCCTCCCAGCCCTTAGTCTCGTCCGCGCAATCGACTCATCCAAACTCGATGGGTGTCTCCTACATGGGTATCACGCCACCTCCAAAATTTGTTGTACCTTATCATCCACAAATCGACGAACCATTAAGCGAATCCAATATGATTTACTACTAATAATTTGCTTCAGATTCTATATCGGTTCGAATTGATTACCCGAATGAGCTCACTTTGCCTGTACACTTTCATTCCTCATTCTGGCGTATGTTTCCCGTATTTACTTCCTGATACACTCTGTTATGTGCAAGAAACTTCAAAATTTTGTTACAACCGTGCCGCCCCAACTGACCGCGCAGGTAATCTGGCTAATCGGGAAATATGCACGAAGAATATCCATCCCAGAAATTATCTGATTCAGATCCCAGAAGAGAAACACTTTGTGTTGTTTAAATGCACGTGAGAATGGGGTGAACTTTCTACAATCTGGTTTTTATCACATTAACAGCGTATTTACGAACAGCATTATCTGTGTGATCGGAAAGTTATTATGCAACACCTAATGCGCATTCCGAACTTGATTTAAACGTCAGAAGAGACCGTGTCAGAGAAAAACACCATACCGTGAGGTTCACTTTTGATCTGCAAAATTCTGTCGTCCAATCAGATGCATATATACAAGCACGCGATCTCGGTGAGTAAACAATTTAGCGCCATTTTTTATTCGCTCATCTTCCGTATGAACAAAACTTTGATTGCATAAAATAGCACACATATTGTTTATGATCTCTGACCAGTGCACGATTGCCCTGACAGGTTTTTCCTTACGATTCACCGAAGTCCACTGAACGAGCTTCTAAGACAAAGTTAATTATTCAAATTGTTGTTTGGCAGATTTGAAGTTTGTATGTCGATGGGTAAATTCTAATGGGAAACGATCATCGGTATGGGTGTGGCCTCGTGGCCCAGCCGGTATAGCGTGCTAGTACAAAGCGTGAGTTCGAATCCCACAGAGGTTACCGAACCTTTCACAAACGTCGTACAAAAATCAAATCTGCCAAGCACGATTAACAACTAGAATGGAATCCTTCACTACTATCACTTAACGAGTAGTCAGATTACGATGTTTCAAACCGAGTCGGCACTTTGGTGATTATTACTGAGATGTGCGATTTATGTTGCCGGCAAAAAGCAAGCAAAGATTGTTTGTGCTATATTGTGTATGAGCAAAGCGAAAATGGTGTGATCAATTACCGTTGGACCTCTATCAGTGGGACTCAGGAATTGATTCTCAATTGGGTCGATGGATTTTCATTGGATATGAGCCCAATCAGGTGAAAACAGCTATACAGTATTTTCTAACTCTTGAGTTACCCTTAATTTACTCTTTAAAGCATAAAATTCATTAAATATGGTAGAATTATTTGTGTAGCTGACCATCGTACAGTGATTGATTGATTGATTCGAGTCCGAATTTAGTACATAATATTCAAGACCATAGGTGCATTGAAGAGGAAAATGATGTAGAAGCAACACAAAACATTTCAAATCGTTGAGGTAATTCAGTTTCAAAACGAATAAAGAACAATATTAGACACTTTCGTAAAGTTGTCACCGAATGGACAGTCACGCGTATCTAACAGTGCTGTCATTTAAGAGTAAAACGCACCAATCACGAAATCTAGGCAGTGGAGCTAAAAGGAATCAGGTAGGAAAGCACAAAAAGCGAGACTATAAACCGGTGTGAACTAACCAAATCAGATAATCAAGGACATTTTTGGCAATAAGATTTACGAGTAGGTGTAAGCCAAAGGAGCCTAACTTTTTGAGAACTGTTTGCACGCAACCAGGTGATATGTTAACAAGGAGAGTATAGATGTGTGTAGCATGCAAAATATCTGAAGATCTGCAATCACAATCAAAGCAGCATCTCTGCAGGAATCATACGAATCAACTAAAATGTACGAAGATTATTGATTCAACAGGTAACGAACAACCAGTGTTTGTGTTTCTCCAGCCACAGCGGTGAATTTGATTGATCCAAAATACCGGCCTCATAATGGTTTCCAGAATACCAACCTCTTATCACTTATTCGAAAAGCATGCCATACAGATGGAGAGTTGGACCTCCACAAAGTTGTAACTATATTTTTACTTCTCGTTTGTTCATCTTATGCACACTAGCATATTCAATTCTCAGGAAGAGGGTTACAGGGAAGTAAATACAAAAACGGGGAGAATGAACGATGATTTATACTGTACAATTGCTCCATCAGCCAGTCAAATCAATCAATGTCGATCATCCCACACACACTACTCACAAGTAACTGTGAGTTTAATACGAAATCCATCATTTCAGGTCAATTAAAGTTACAAATTGCTTTATTTATCCTAATGGATAAATTTTCAGCTGCTTGCAAACCAGGGTCAATTACGATTGCATACTATTCCAGAGAAAAAGTAAAATACAGCGTCGCAAATTTAAGCGAAAGGTGGAGTAAAATCTCAAAATAGACGTAATTTACCCAGAATTTTTAATAATTTATCTCTCAGGGATAGTTTTCTTGACAGAAATCTCGAAAAATATGGGATAACGGACAGACGGTAGTCAATGGTACGAGTATACACACCTAGTTACGGAAGTGGATACACATTTTTAGGCTGTGTGCAGTGGGTGAATGCAACCCAGTTTCTTGCCGCATATATTTTACTATTATTAATATTTATTATATTTTTCCCCAAATACTTCATATTTGCTCATCCTTACCAATTTTCTAAAGTCACTCATTTTTCAAAATGGTGATTGTATACTTGATGAGTAAACAGCGAGCGTAGATATTTTCTGATATTTTCTGTTGTTCAAAATCACCTATCAGCTTGTTGAGTGCTCTGTGAGGAAACCTGACGTTGAGTCTGCATTTTTTGTATCTATGGTTCACTTGACGACTGAACTGATAAAAATGCCACTCTGGCGCGATAACACATAAGGTTTCAGATTTTTTAAAGATCTCAGGGCGTACGTAATCATAAAAGCGATGGAAAAACAGGATTCAAACAGCTGAATCCAATCAGTGACATAATGTTGATAAATTATCCTCTGGAGCACAAATGTAGCCTGGCCGGATTTTGAAAGCTCTCCGGTCTTATCCTTCTCCCTCGTGAAGTCAAACAATTAGATTCCATCCGACCCTCTCCGCGATCTGATTGGATCATTTTCCACGACGGGACCGTCTGCTCACCGGCTCGCAATGTTTGTGAGGCTCTTGATGTCACCTGTTGTCCAGCCGTATAAGTGGAGAGGTTATGAATCTGATGCTGGTTAAGCGTTGGTAGAGTATCACCACAGGAGAATCTGCTATGGAGTGATGCACCACCCGGGAAATTGGGAATGGAAAAATTTATGCGATGCTACGGCTATATATATATGCTTGGGGATATGACGAAACAGAAGAGTTTAGTATCAGTGGTCGGGTTCGAACAGGCGACCTCCGTGATGATGACATCTGTAGCTCGATTATCATGATCACCACCACCACCACCACTACCACCACTAAGCTACTTCATAATGCTTCACGCACCTACGTACGTGAAAATCCAATAGCTGTCCCAATTTTATCTGGTCCGTCTTTAAGCGTATTTGCTGCCTACGTAAACATCGTCTTTATCTGAACGTTTTCAAATAAATGTAATTGATGAACAATAAATTAATCTTATTGTTAATCATCCGAAAAACGTAGCACACCAATCAGATAAATCGATGTCGGAGTCTATTCACTTCGGAATTTATTCTTCGTGCAATGTCTACGTACCGTTGGATCCCGCAAGAATAAAATACTTTAAGTTAGTATTTCGCACATGCTTGCTTTCTCCCACTGGATAAGCAATAAGAAAATATACTTCAAGGATTTGTCCAAAGTAAATCCTCAGCTGGACAGGGCGTTGCCGACGCTAGTTCACTTACAGCGGCATGTACGGATGAGGCAGAAATCATGTGGTGTTAATGAAAATCCAATCATGGGTAACTAGTGGGACTCACAACCCTGGAAATCTTAACTTCACTCCTAGATAACTCGGTGAAATCGTACTTTTGATTGTTCCAAACAAGCTATGCATGATACACCATCCGTACATGAAGAATATCTTCCCGAATAGTCAATCTGCAACTTGGCAAATGCCACTCTATTTATCTGAAATAAATGGTTGGGGTGAGGGAAGAGTTAGTCTCGCGGGAACGTGCTCGTAATTCCCAGCTTCAGCATACCCGTTCCTTATCATATAGCCTGATTATCTTTCAGTCTCCCATGGTCGTGGAAGGACGCACAACGCAATCGATCAGTTTACTTCAAATTGGATCGAAATCAAACCTGTGATTCCGCATCTGTTTTCCACACGTACGGTCCTGTTTCATTTGGGCAGTACCGCCCGATCAGTCAGCTAGCAGATCGCTTTATATGTACTTCTATCTATCTAAACACCCATGAATATGCAAATATATTTTCTCTCTCTGTTTATTCATCCATTAACTTGAACTGATGGACAAACTCATTCATTTATCCCTTTGTTTTCTCTCATATCATGTCACAACTATCAATGCAATCTTGCCCATAGATATATTATCTGTGAAACCCTCTCGACCCCCATGTTCCCGAAAATATTTGCTCCAAATAAACATTTATATCCATTTTGCTTTGTAGAGCGGGAAAATTAAAACTCGGTCATTCAATACTTGAAATGACCAGAGAAATCTGTTTGCTAGCGTCGCTGACCAGCAATGCTTAATAGCGATCAGTGATCTCACGGAGCAAATGCATCGAGGAAAGACTTTTCGACCGCATGATGCTAAGCCCCAATACTGCTCATCTATCGGAACGAATGACTCTCTGTAAGGTCATAACGTACCCGTCAGCGATTGCGGATGCAACACAGGGTGTATGAGGCGTATTAATATTCGGGGTTTGTTAGAGGCTTGTGATGTAACAAAAAGGCAGGCACACGGGGCACACGTTTATTCAAGCAGTTGAACAAGCTGGTTTTGCCAGTCAGACGCGTTCATCCATATTGTATTTTTTCAAATCACATTCAGGCACGATCCACGTTCTGACAAGATGAGCATCCCAATTCAGTTTTGGCCGTCTGCTGGCAGAGCTTGATTTTGTTCTTTTGTGTAAATCACTCTAAAT